GCGATCGACATCCGGTCATCGGGAGGAGCCCCGAGGGATACCGCTGGTACACTCTTTAAAGAGGGCCCAGCGTGTTCCTTCGGCGGCTCGGCTGGTTGGAGTGGTGGGCCCCCCAAGGGTTGGTTCCCTGAGGGGTTTGCCACCACTGTAACCTTCAGACCGACCGTGCTACTGCTGGCCCCCGAGGGTTGGTTCCCTGAGGGGTTTTCCACCACTGTAACCCTCAGACCGCCCATGCTACTGCCCGAAGTAGCCCTCGCCTGGCTACCGCCAGGACAAACACTAGATCGCGGCAGAGGCAATGGAGTTCCGCCCCCCTCGAGATAATGGAGCCTGGCTCGCATCTCCGAGATGGTCATCTTCCCGCAATGGGAACATGACTCATCCACGAACGCCACCTTAGCGTGCTTCATGCCCAGACACGTGAGGCAGCGATCGTGACCATCACCCGGCGCCAGGTAACGACCGCACCCAGAAACGCACGGGTGAAACAGCATCTTTAAAAAGACGATCCATTGTCTTTACAAAGACACACCCGTGGAGCTCTTTTAGAGAAATTGCTCTTTCAGGGAAATGCGCTTTTAGTGCTGAGGCACACTGGGGAAATGGCCGCTTGCAGCACAACAGGGGGTAGTGCAGCCTGAAGTGCGCAACCCACTCGACACAGGAACGACCACCGCTGAAGCGCCGTCCGCCAACACCAGGAGCTTCCAAGAGCACGTTGAACTCGTAGCTCACTGAAGACACTTGGATGGAGCAGAACGATGTTGTCGCTCGGCTATTGGGCTCTCGAAGCGAGATCCCCAATTCGTCGGTCACCGACGTGACTCGGAGTGACCGACTGAAAGGGAATTGAGAATAAAGAAGCTTATTATGTGCCATATTCACAGTTCTGTTCTTACGTAGTGACAGATCTCATGATTCAATGCAAGACTTGATAAATTGAGTGACTAACCAGTATGGTGTTCCAATGAAAGAGTCTCTTCTCTGAAGGGTCTTTGTATTCTTTGCAGACACTCCAAAGTCAGCTGAGAAGAAACAATGATCAAAATTAGAGACACACAGTATAGCTGACAACAATATGCAAAAAAGAGACACAATTTTTAATCAATAAGTAAACTTAAAATCTAAAATAAACATTTCAAAATTTCAGTTTTCTTATATACGTAGCCTACATATTAACTGCTAAAGACACATTTCTGATACTTTTTACCAAAGGACTTTTCCATGACCTTTCCAGATTTTTACGGTTACTGGATAAGATTAAAAAAAAAATACTAAAATTACAGAGAATATTTGAAAAAGAAAGTGAAAAAGAAAACTGGAAAAATTAATAAATAAATAAAACTAAATAAATTGAAATTATACACATATATACATGAATTACTTGAAAATATATATACACATTACATTATTAAATAAATTATTAATTACATTTAAAATAAACAGTTTTTAGGCAAACTTTATGAGGCTATTACCCAATTTGACATCTCCATCTGAGGTAAAGAGAATATTTCCAGCTTTCAGGTCCCGGTGTATAATCTTAATCTCATGGAGATAAGCCAGCGCTTCCAGTGTATGTTTACACACAACTCTGATCTGAGGCTCTGTCAATGGCCGCTCCAGCTCTGCAGACACACACACACACACACACACACAAAATGGCTGTAAACAGAATCACCGCTAAAGCAAGCACATTTTATCAGCTCTTTATATTTGCAGTGATGTGTATTTAAGTTAAAGCAGACAAATAAACTACAATGTAACCGTGACAAAGGGCTATGGCTCATATTAATAGCCATATTCTCTGTTGTTGTTTTTGGCTAGGTAGAGCATACTGCTCCCTTGTGACTGAAGCAATGCGAACAGGTCTTTATTACAGCAGCGCTGCTGGGATAGGCCCTCACAGAACAGACAGAAGGCAACAGAGGGAGTCATAACAGCACAAACAATGAGTCAACAAAAGCATTTCCATCATAAGAACACCTACAACAGCAACACCTCTCTTATAGGCTAAATGTAGAAGAGGCAAGATTTTCATTACAGCAGACTAAAGAGTAATAAGAAAGAGGTTTTATTCTTACAGGACATTGTTTACAATGGTGAAATGGTTTTTCCATCAACTAAGGTGATGAGGTTTTGTGATTGGAAACAGTTTTTGTAAATAGTACAGATGACACTGTACAAAAAGAGGGGAAATGGGACTATTTGTTAGGCATTTATGCATTGTTTTTGGCTGAATTAATACTGCTGTGAGCCATGAAAAACTTGTAAAGTCTACTTATGAATTTGCTGACATGGCATGTCACTGAAAAGATCTGATGCGTGTGGGGACATTTCAACAACACTTCCAACCAACACAGAAAAAGGCAGAGTCGATTTTTTAAAGAAAGAGTCGATTTAAAAAGAGCCTAACCACTCGTTGAAATCTGACTTTGATAATTATATGGTCCAGTCCAGTGGCAAAAATGAGCACAGCGTGCTGGTGTGCCAGTGAGGTCTGGAGCAATGGAACATCATGGCACAGTAGAACAGACTTAAGACGACCACAGTGCCTTCTATTTCCTTCAATTAAACAAAGACCATAAAACTTACCCAACATCACAGCGTCCACTGCTCCTCCAGCACAAAACTCAATAAGAATCTAAAGAAGGGGTGAAAGAAAGAGATCCAGAAGATGAATGAACTAAGAATGACACCGATGCCACAGTGTGCAATGTAGAGTTTACTTTGATTACAAGCATATGATTGGTTTGGTTGGGTGGGTGTTTATCCGTCTCGGTAGAAATCACGTTTCTGGGGGCACAAAGACCAGACCGAAAGGGGACTTCAGCGTCGGCGATTAAAGGGGCAGGGGCACAAGCCCCTGGCTCTCCCTGTGCACATGTACCGCTGTATATTTTTAAATTCCTCCTCGTTTTGTTGTTGCTTCGACATGTACATAACTTAAAGGTGGGGTAAGCAATTTCTGGTAGCCAATGTTGACATTTGAAATCACCAAAACAAACATGCCCCTACCGCAAAAGGGTCTCGCCCCTATTTTGATAGCTCCGCCCCACACATACGTACACAACCCAGGCAACGATTAGTTCTGTGAAACAAAGCAAAACCAATGTTACACCGTGTCTACACCGGACGCGAGTGGCGCGGCGCGACAAAATACTATAGAACTCATTATAATCAGTGATGCGGTCTACACTGGATGCGACGCGGCGCAACACGACAAATCCCAGACAGAAAACTGCTGCTGCGTTCTATTCATGATGTATTGACACAAATTTCAAATGATTTTCAACGGTCGCTTTGTTGCGTCCAGTGTACTAGACACACTTTAGCTGTTGTGGCGCAAACACGGTGTGGTGTTACTCACCTATCGGGAAGAAACAAAGCAACCTCGGCGTCCGATCGCAGGCCTTCCGCTCCTTGAGTTCTCTCCAGCGCTGGAAAGCTGATCCGATATTTACATGGGTCCTACTTCTTGCCTTAAGCCTTCTTTTGTTCCGCAGACGTTTTCCTCTTTTGTTTTTTATCCGCCATCTCTATCTTTCTGTCGCTCGGCTCGCTAATGTCCGTCCTGTGCACTGGACGCTCTCTCCTCCACATCAAAACTACACACGCCCCTTACTGCTGATTGGCTACAATTTTGTTTTGCTAGTCGGCCCAAATCAGTTTTCTAAAGCGTTTTTGAAAAATCGCTTACCCCACCTTTAAGACATCCTATACATTAAAGGGGTCATATGATGCTGCTAAAAAGAACATTATTTTGTGTATTTAGTGTAATGAAATGTGTTTATGCGGTTTAAGGTTCAAAAAACACATTATTTTCCACATACTGTACATTAATGTTCCTCCTCTATGCCCCGCCTTTCTGAAACGCGTCGATTTTTACAAAGCTCATCGGTCTGAAAAAGCGAGGTGTGCTCTGATTGGCCAGCTATCCAGTGCGTTGTGATTGGCCGAATTCCTCAAGCGTGTGACGGAAATGTTACGTCCCTTACCACCTGCGGCAACCACATGTGATGACCCCGGGCTGGACTCCGCTTCGTCCACGGTGAAAGCCGATCCGGC